CACCCAGATTTTCAGCCTCTTTTTTGAGGGAAAAAGGTGTGTCTTATACTCCAAAAAATGCGGTAATTTAAATTTAACACCTTGTGAGATTGATGATTGACACAGACATGGATGTAGGTCTCGACAATACAAGTTCAAAGTTTTAACCCATTAACGAGTTACGCTACACTGGTTCTTGATGGATGTTTTTCCACTGTTGAGCTGGTCTCTCCAGGTGTCCATGAAAATTACTTGGCATGAAACTGGTTGCTATCCCCAGTCACTGCCAAATCCAATTTCCCAACAAGGAAAGACTGGTGTAGTCTGAGAGAGAGGGTAAGATTGTCCTAGAATTCTGCTACTATTCAGAAGGAAATACTACTTTAAGTACAGTAAAGAATAATCTAGGCAGGGGTGGGCTTCAAAAATTTTAGCAAGGAGTTCTCTGACTAGTTGCTGGGTGGGTGTGGCCATTTGGGCGTGGCCTAGTTGGCCTCCTGCACCATGGCAGGGGGGGGCATTTTTGCCCTCCCTGGGCTCTGGAGGCTTTTCTCGGGCCTCTGGGAGGGCGAAAATGTCCTCCGTAGGCTCCAGAGGCCCTCTGGACCCATTCTTCCCATTTTTCGCCCTCCCTGAGCCTCCACACATGCCCTTTACTTACCTGCAATGGGCTGCGTGGGGACTCCTGGGAGAGGAGGGGAAGGGTGGGTGGGGCCAGCCCAGAAGTGGTGATTTAGGGGTTCTCCAAACTGCACAGAATCTTAACTAGCGGTTCTCCCGAACCCATGAGAACGCCCAGCAGCCCACCCCTGGATCTAGGCCCTTCTCATTCATAAATGGGAACAAGATAAAGACAATGTTGTAGCACATTGAAAGATAAATGTCAAAAGAATATAACAAGAATATTATGAGCAAAGGATAGTTCCAATGGTCTATTATAGGGAGAACAGACTTAATCAGAAATATACAGGAGCCGTAGGGAAAAGGGCACACACGTTAAGTTCAAACAATGAGATTACATTTGGCAAATGTTTCTCTATCCATTGAATTGTTTAAAGGAAGAGGAAGTACAGCATAGCTAGAATTGCAAGCTTCTGTTTTTACTGTATAACCAAACTCAATAAAAAATGGATTTAGTTTTCTTGTGGAGTTGATTTCTTGTTCTGATCTATCTAGTGGGGCTGACCCCTATTAAGTTTAAACCGAGTCAATTCACCCAGCTACAGTAGCTTGCTAATTGAAGTTGATAACTTCTGTCTCATTTTTGCACCCTCAAAACAATATTAAAAGGAGGTGATTCAACAGGTCCCTGGTCAATTTTCAAGCATGGTGCAGATGAGTGAGCAAAATTTGACTTTGTGGGTTAAAATTGTACAGGACATCTAAAATCAATATAAGGGTAATTACGTATAAGGTATAAGAATACCTAAATCAATATAAGCATAATTGTTCCCATATTATTCTGATTGGTATTGAACACGGTAAACATACTTTTGTGAGCTATCAGTTCAAGCTTCATCATCTTTCCTAAAAGTAAAATAATAAGAAACTATTATTTTATTTTTGATCATCAAGGGAACTAATTTCATGCAGAAAGGGCTCATTCATATTATTGATTACGAGATCTTTTCTCCAAACTTTTTGCAGAAAGTTTTTGATTCCTGAGTTTATAGCATGTTGCCTGTGGAATTTTTACAACCCCTGATCAGAAAGAGCCGATGATGAAATCCAGCAGAATTTCCTGCCATGGGCAAGAGTTCAGAGTGGACTAGAAAACCTCCAAAGTCCCTTCCAACCCTTTTATTCTATATTTTTTGTTCTAAAATCTGATGGATTGAACACAACACTCAAAGAGAAACCCTAAGAGATAAACCTGCTGAAAGTATAGGTACAAGCAGCAAATTTGGAGGGACTAAGTGTGATATTTGTTACTATTTTACATCATTTGTTTGTTTATTACCGCTGGCCAGCCATAATTTAATACATAGAGTCTGATTATTTTAAATTAGTCAATCCTCAGTGGAGACATTCAAAGCTAATTTAGGCCCATTATGAAGTTTAAACAATTGCTTGATTTACGTGCACACTTACTTCCTAGTGGAATGGAGAAAAGATAGTGTCTGCATGTAAATAGCTATTGGCAAAAGGTTCTTTCAGGCCTCCAAGGGCTGAAGATTGCTCTTTAAAAAATAAACACAGTTCATCTTGGCACATAATGTGAACTATTTACAGCTCCCTTGACTTACATAATTATGCTTCTGAGAGTCAGAAAAATATCTAAGCAATTACGAAAGATTCAATTCGCTCTTTTTGAAATATTCAGCAGTTAGAAAATGCAATCTTTTTTCTTCTTGCATAAATCCTATGTACTACTAAATAAAGTAAATTCAATTCTTTTGTTTGGTTGGCTTTTAGAGGGATAGGAATGCAGGCGGTAGTATTTGTCCAGGAAAAAAAAGTGTTCTGTTATACCTGTGAAAATAGTCACAATTTTATGGCTTTCCATCATTCATCTATCTAGCTGGCTTAGTTTATTTTGTATTTCCCAGACAACGGTTATTATCTTCTTCAATCAACAAAAAATTATCATGGCTATCAACATTTGCAAACAAGAAATAAGTCCCACTGAGTTCTTAGGGGTTATTTAGAACTGGAGTTGAACAATTACGGTTATAACTGTGAATTCCATATCCAAAATATTTTAGCGATCACCATAAGTAGATCAGCAAGGGTAAAATCACCGCAGAGTAAAAATTTGATGTGTGTGGTTTAACAAAAACACTACCGGTTTGGCCAAACCAGTCTGAACCAGTAGGAACCCACCAATGGCGTGAAGACTCCTGGGAGGGGAAGAGTGGGGTGGGTGGGCCACACAGGGGTGGGATTTGGAGGTTCTCCAAACCGGCCATAACATTAGCTACGGATTCTCCTGAACCCAGGCAATCTCGTAGCAGCCCATCCCTGAGTGGAACAGCTTGCTGTCAAAAGTTGTGGATACTTCATCACTGGAGGTTTTAAGAAGAAACTGGACAATCACTTGTCTGAAATGTTATACAGTTTCCTGCTTGAGCAAGGGGCTGGACTAGAAGACCTCGAAGGTCCTTTCCAGCTCTA